TATCTTGTGATTGTTTTGATGTTGTCTTTAGTTCCGTAAAAATGTAGGAACGCTATTCCGCGTTCCCACAGTTTATTATCATTTTTGACTTTTTTCCTTCAAATATATCTTCTTATTTTCATTTTAGTTTAAATATCAAACAACTTACAATGTTCCATTTATTACGGAAGAAAAAGAAATGTGTTTACATATATAAATAAATATATATATATATATCATTAATGAGTGAAAAATTGATTAAAATACATATTTTTGTGTAAATACATGAATATGCTTCATGTGTTTGCTGCTTGTATGCTATCATTAACTATGTAAAAATTGCAAGGAAAAAAATCAAATAGAAAATAATAATAATTAAACAACCAAGTATTTTTACTAATCAAAACAGTTTTAAAAGCCTTCCCAATACTTATTTTATATCGTGATTAACTTTTGAAGAATCAATGCTTCAAGTAAAAATGATGAAATAGTATTTCAGAGCACTTAGCAGATAATAATTGGTACAATAAACAAAAATAATCCATAACAAAAAAATAGCAATATGCTACTACACCAAACTACATATGAAAATTCAATTTATTAGTCAATTATTCAAGGTTAGTATAACTATACAATCTTCTTAAAGACTTCATCCATTGTTTTCATATCTGAAAAAAGGAAAATAGAACATTAGTTTATAAAAAAATTATTTTACACACCAAGATATTCTTTGTTTTCAAGTTATTAGATTTAGCAATATCAGAGAACAGCCAGTATTTATAGTTAGTATAATTTAAATGACGTAATTTTCAAAAGTTTTTAAGAAATGCCTCAAATCTTTACTAAATTTAAAAAAGTGACTTCAATCCTATACGCAATAATCTAAAATAACTTATTGTACATGTAAAAAAAAATCAGTGGAAATTACCATACTATATGATAATGGCACTTCTGTTAAAAAAAGCCATAATTATAGTAATAAATCGTGAATATATGGTATTTAAACCATTGATTTGGTAAAATTTCCATTTATATAATAACGGTTTACTGGATATTCTGGTTTAAAAATTCATGGTTCTTTTGCCACATATTTAGTTATTATTATATAATTATTATATTTATGTAATTGTTATATTTAGTGATTATTAAACATACTGAAAATTAGTATCGATGTATAATGAAACTTGCCTCATACTATGGCTGTAATTAATTGTTATTTAAAGAAAAACAATAAAACATATTTAAAGATTTCAATTGGCCCATGATATATCAAAGTTCAATTAGTCAGTATTATGAGCAGTAACATCATAATATAATTTTTTTGAACCAAAAAAAAATAGGTTACTAGTTCTTCCTATTTTTTAATGCAAATGTTTTGTTTCAATTCTATTGATCATATTTGAGATTTCTATAATTCACTGCCGTATTTCTTTTTTAAATATACTCTCACAATATATTCAGAGCAATGCTACCATTTTTCAATTTATTGGAGTCTGCTGCAAAATTTTAGTTTGTAAATCAGATCGGATTTTTTTTTGTTTGCTACCAAAAACTATAAAATTGAATAATACCTCGATTCTTGTTTCAAAACACACCATCAGAGTTAACCACCATATCTATAAGGAAGAAGAATGGTTAATATATATGTAT